TTACCAAACAAGGATACAAAGTACAAAATATATCTAAAACCAAATAACTTTCTTCCAGATCTTGTACACTTATTTAAACAATGAGAAAAATACACCAAGTAGGACAAGAACTAGCTAAAGATTTCTCAAAACAATAGAAGTGTTAAACATCACGCTTCCTGCAAAAAATGGTTTTGTGAAATCAATGGCAAACGATACACTCTTCATATACATTCTTGTTTCTTTCTGCTGGAACTAAATCTTCAGTTTCTTTGTTATCAAATAAGTCCACTCCAAGTAATTCTTCAGTTTCTTTGACAAAGCTGATATCGGAAGCTAGGAAAAATTCAAGCCTGGAAAGAGGAATAACGCGGCCTGCTGCTCTTCTCCTTCCAAGACTACTCGACCACAACTTGAAAGTCATCATTCGACATGTCTTGCTGCATCTCCTTCACTCTCATGGCCGACCCCACCAACGACGGGCTGCAGTCAACTACCTCCACCACCTGCAAATATATGACGTAGTCGATGCCCTCAGGAATCTCCCTCAGCCTGTAGCAGTGCCTAACGATCAGTCGCTCGAGCCTCTTCAGAATCAGGCCACCGCCCGACCAATCCTCCAAGTCCAAGTCCTCCAGCTGCAGAAACCTCAGATCCCTAAACTCATCTTCGCCAACTTCCCAAACGGGCCCTTCAAAGGCATAGCATCCCAATTTAAGCACTTGGACTGGGAAGTTTGAGACAGAGTCGGGACGCGCAACTGCCATCGAACGGGGACTCGGATTCACGACCGCGCATTTGAATGACTCCAGCTGGTCGAGAAGCGCCAGATGGTCGAAAACGCGCTGAGGGATCAGAAGCGTGATCGTGCTCCGACACCTCGATGCAAACTCCTAATTTCTTCAGGTTCGGAGTTCCTCTCAGCACGTCCTCAGCACAACTATGGTTCGTCACATTCGAAAGTGTCAAGAGGTCCGTGAGGAGGTGGATGCGGAAGATCGCCTCCCTCTACCACGAGATGCCTCAAGCGTCTCATGGTCGGAAAATACGACGGGCAATGAAGTTGGAATTTCGCTGCACGTGAGGCGCAAGGTATCGTAACTGGACTAATTTTAGTATTTCCACGGGGAACCCGTAGAAGCGTATGGAGAGCACGTCCAGTACCCTGAGCAAACCGAAATCCGAGCAAACGGCTAAAGGATACGGATGGTCCCGACCACTGCAGAAAAAAGAGCGGGCTTTCGAGACCGACAACATGGCACGATTGACGTCCTTGATTGAAAGAAGGATGTTCTTCCGGATGCAAAGCCGGCGGCCAATGCTTGCGGTTGTAGGCAGAGAAGCCTTCCTCCCCTTTGTGTACCGAGTGACAGCACAAAAGAACCCATCTTTGTCGGCAGCATTAACACACAGATGCCACACGGCAGAGTGGATGCTGCAGGTTTTAATCCCGCCAGCCGACCTCCGCTTGTGAACCAAGACGAGGCTCCTGTCCACGAGCTCCTCCAGACGAGCCTCGGCCACATCCTCCGGAGATTTTGGCGGATAATCTGAAGCTGTAAAGTCCAGATTGATGTTTTGAATTCATCTAAATCTGGAGCAAGCAACCAACGGCATAATAATACTTCATGAATTCAACTTTTTTTTTTCAGTATCTATATATATAATAAGAATTAACATTTTTCAAATATAGTAAGCAAAAAAATAGGGAGTATTAATTGCATTCCATTTTTGGTATGTTTTTTTAATTTTTTTAATAAAAAATCAAGTAGCATTTAATGTTAGCACAAATCATGGGATTTGTTATATAGATTCATATTTGAATTTCAAACTTCAAACAAAACATGCCTAAATGTATTTTGAATTTTTTAGGGAAAAAATTTAACAAACACGTTAAAGATGTCATACAATACATATATTTATATATATTATCTTAACATATAGGTTAATTAGTTTTCTATCTAAACAATATATATTTAAACAATATATAAACAAATATAATAATTTATCGTACAATACAGACAAATATATAAACAATATATTTATATACAAATATAATAAACAATACAAACAAATATACAAACAATATATAAACAAATATAAGAACTTGTCACGTGTATATTTCGTACAATACATATATTTGTATATACTATCTTTCATATCTAAACCATATATATTTTAGGAACTTAAAGATTCATAACACTAGTACAGAGCCCGTGCGATGCACGGGGTGCACAATTTTAAGGCTATTTATCCAGGCTTATAATTATATACATGAATAAAGAAAAATGTACGGGATATATATAGTACGTGACCCGTGCGAAGCACGGGATATATTTATTTGGAGAATATTATATTATAAGATGCAATATTCAATAAAAGATTTATTTGGAGAATATTATATTATAAGATGCAATATTCAATAAAAGTTTATAATACGCAAGAAAATTGTACAATGTTCAATAAAAGTTTTATAATATTCAAGTGGAATCTTAAAGTCTCTTGTACATTAAGACTACTGACAAAATAATATTTTAATCAATGAGTTTCCTTTCCTTGTAGCCAAATTGTGATTGTGATTTGAGGAGTACAACAAATCGATATATAGTTGACTTGCTTTTTCCATTGTAGTTTTTTTTTTCTTTTTTTTTTCTAATGAATTTGAAGATATTCTAAAATATAGCAAAAATTAATTTTTTTATTACAATTAAGAATTTTACTAAATATAGACTCTCAATCTATGGTGTTAATCAACGTTTAAGTCTAAAAAATTAGGAATTTTTACCTCTTTTAATCAACGTTTAAGTCTAAAAAACAATAGAGTTATTATAAGTTTTTTTCTACATCTTTTAAAACATTAAATATGAACATGTTAGGGCTAGCTTGTAAAATAATTAATATATTATCATACTAAAATATTTATACTAATAAAAATTAAATTTTAACATATAAATTTATCCCTTCATATAAGAGAAAGTAACAGGTTTACTTATTGTTGTTCACCATATAATATTTAATTATTATTTTATTGTATAATAAAAAAAGAATATTGTTAAATAGTGTAGTAAAATTATTATAAAATTATATGATTTTTTTTTTACAATATGTATTTAATATTTTTTTTTTAAATAAAACAAATAAATACTTTAGTAAGTATTTAATGTATATACTGAATACGAATATATTTGGTATAATCAAATACCAAATATAATCAAATAAGTCAAAGTGTACATTTTTATTTGGTATTTAATTTTTTTATTATTAAAATATTTTTATTATACTTACCTTTTTAAAATAAAATAAATAAATAAATCAATTAAATAAATAAAATATTATAATACCAAAATAACAATGACATTTAATGCAGTTGACTTTTCTGGATAGTAAATTCAGTAAATAGAATCTCTTTTTATATACGTATAGATATGATATTATATTATGTTGCTCAAAATAGTAATGCATTTATTGCATTGACTTTTTAACTTACTAAATTTCGTAAATGGTACACCTTATTATATAAGTATAGATTACTGACGTCATGTATATTTATAATATATTGTCACGTACATTTTACTACAATTGGTAACTTTTTTAAAATTATTTGAATAACTAGAGGTTGATTTGTAATTTGAATTTCAAATTCATTCAAACATTTAAAGGAAAATATCATAAGCAGATTTTTTTTAATACATTTTATTTTATCTCAACTTACATATAATCACGTTCCTACCTAACATTAAATTTTCTTATATCTTTTTAAATTAATTACATCATTAAATAATATTAATATATATTACATATTTATCATTATATAACAAATATATTACTTCTACAAGTGTTATAAATAATAATGACATTATATGCTAATAGATTTTTTGATAGATTAATAATTGAGTATTATGATGAACCAAAATATGTAAAATTATTATTATTTTGTATTAAAAAATAAATATATATGTTAAAATATTATTTATAATAATATATTGGTTCATCATGCTATTACAATAAATTTTATAATAAAATAATATGAGTATTATACGAGGAACAAGATTACGTAAAATTATTATTTTTCTTATACCAAGGAATAAATATATATAATGAAATTAAATTTATATTATTATAAACATGTGAGCGAGATAATCTATTAATTAATTTACGGTCTAGCGCTACCACTACCAGGCTCAGGTTTAATGTTTCGACAAAAAGATGACGTTGATGAAAGAGATAAAAAAATAGATGATCAAACTCTATTACTTTTTTAGGCCTTAACTAACAAGCCCTATTGTCCACTCATTTAATATCTCCCGTGAATCACACGAGCTACTTAATAGACAAACTCTGCGGAAATGACTCATTTAATATTTATGTCCCGTGCATCGCACGGACTACGTACTAGTTTTGTTTAAATAGCATGTAAAATTGTAGGTACTTTTAAAAATAGTACACATAATTTCAGGTTTTTTTAAGAAAAAAAAAACAATATATAAAATTGTAGGTGTTCGTAGACAAATAGTATAGATAATTATAAGTGTTTTTCCATATGTTTTTTAGAAATAACATACATTTTAATATTTTTATTTATTCATGTTAATGATGTCAAGAAATTCACATGACTCCTCCCTAATATTCATGATCAGGATAATCTTATGTAATTTTAAATTAGTGTATGGTTCTCAATTTTAATGATGAATGGCTATGTCTATTTTAAATAATCTCATTTTAAATTAATATTCCATTTTTCTATTTTAATGATGACGAATAATTCTATTTTAAATTAACGTACTGTAAACATGAAATTCAATATTTAATTTTTATTATAAATAATTTTAATATTATTTATTTGTGCATCTCATTTGAAAACCAAGATTTTTTTTAAAAGCAAATATCTCCAAAATAATTAAAACAGGAAGTAGAAATATTGGACGAATTCCTTCCCCAGCATCACATCACATGCAAACCTGCAGTACCACACGAATCACAAGTTGCACCATTTTTTGCCACGTGGAACCAAAATATGCAGTCTCCCCACTCCACTTCCAAAAACCCGAAAAGAGCAAATAATAAAAATAAATATATAAAAAATAACACCAGTGTTAATATAGAAATCGTGTTATTATGCCAAGAAGCGCTAATTGTCAGCGAATAAGTCGCCACTAAGTTTAGGTCACAACTTTACTATATGATAAAATTAATAATATTATTGTGTGTGTATTTATATACCTGAAATAAAGAACCTTAACGTTCGTTTGCTCCGCCTCAGTACACACGCCGCTCTCTGTACTCTGTAGTGTCGCCGCCAACTTCGTCTCGCCACCTGATTCTGCACCTGAAACCTCATCTGAATGCATGAATTATGCTTTTTCTCATCTGGGCTTGCCTTATTCTGACAGATGATGGTAGTTTATTCAGCTGTTTTGTCTGCTTTTGATTTGCAAGAATGTGTTTTTCTTTTTGTTTTTCAAGTATGGTGAAGAACTATGTTTCCCCTTTTCTTTTCATTTTATTTATTTACTCTTATCTGTTCTTAGTTCAATTATGTCATCATTATCCATGGCTTAAGTTAAGAATTTCTCTGTAACCTTGGCACATTTTTGAAGTCGTATGTTGATTTTCCTAAATGAAGTTTTTAGGTAGCAAGTTAATTGGAGCATGAATTATGCTTGTTCTCATCTGTGTTTACCTTATTCTTACAGATAATGGTAGTTTATTCAGCTGTTTTGTCTGCCTTATTTATTTATTTTATTTGTTCTTAGATCAACTATTTCATCATTATCTGTAGCTTAAAGTTAAGGAGGTATCTGTAACTTTGGCGCATTTTGAAGCCATATGTTGATTGTTTCATAAATAAGGTATTTGTGTAGCATGTTATGTGGAGCTTTTGTCTCTTATTCTCATATGTACCAGGGAAACAGAACGAGGGATGTGAGGAAAGGAGTAGAATTTTGTGTTGTGTATGAAATTTGTCTGGTATTTTTTGATCTCAATAAGGTAGATAATTATCATAGTTTATGTTATGGAATTTGTTAGTGCAGGCATTATTGGTGATATCAAGCTAATCTGATGAATCTCTTAGCACTGGTATTTTGTAATATAGATGTGAGTCAACCGAGCATATGATGTTACATTGCTGATGATATGTCTGGATTTTTGGGTGTTGGTTTGACTGACGACACAGCACGGTGACTTGGGGATTATAAAATTCTCCAGGTCGTGTAATTTGGAAAATGGGACAATAAGTATTTAGAACGTCGAAATTGTATTGGAGAGTTTTGTCTTTTATGTAAACATGCAACTTTTTTTTTCCTATCATCGACTCTTATTATTCCCTGAGATCTTTTTTCAATATTATGTATTATTTTACTATGATTAATAGTTAGTTTGAAACTCAGAATGGAAGAAATGATAAAAGGAAAATATTGTGATGTGTGTTAGTGTGAAATTATAATTCAGTGCTAACCGGACATTTTAATGTGAGGACTTTAGGGCTTTGTCTGTTTCCGTGTAGCTAGTAGTAGGACCCAGTTGTAGAAATATATTCTTCGTTCATTAAATATTTTTGAAGTTTTTTGAAATTAACTTTTTTAACGTATTTTTGGAGTTTTCTGATATTAACTTTTAACGATTTCTATGGGATCTCTGAAAATGGGTTTAGAAAAAAATATTAAAATGGACATCATGATGTCATAATATTGACAATTTGACTGAAATAGAGAAGATGGTACGGACAAGTATGTTTAATCAGAAGGATGGTGGAGTAGTAAATTCTCTGTTAATGCAATAAGCCTATTACTTTTACTGGTCAAATTGCTGTGCATTTATATGCTTCCCTTCTGTGTCCTGTCACAACTCTGCTTGTGTTGTGTATGATTTAAGTGTTCTTTCCTTTTTCCCCTGTAAATTATATAAATTTTCATAGTAAATATATTTCTATAAATCTAATATATAAACATGAGAGTTCATATATACCAAGATAACAAATACTGCAAAGCATGATAGCTATCAGCATGTTCTTAGTACATTGATTCACATCTGTCTTTAGAATATTAAATAACTTGGAATGTCTGTTTACTCGGCTTCCTGCAAGTACCAACTCAGCTACAAGATAACACAATATCTTTTGCAGGGCACTTGCGAAAGTAGAGGAATATTTATCATCATCAAGTCATCATGGACAAACCATTCGAATCTTTGAAGGGTGCAGAAGATGTTTCCATCAATGTACTAGAATTTAACCGAAACATGGATGCCAAAGTGGAGCCAAAAGAAGACCCTGACGCAACTGAAAATTCCAGTTCATTTGCCGACACAATTTCTGCGAATGAAAATAGTTGTGGATTAAGTGACGCAGATGTCGAATCACAGTTCTTTGGGGAGAGTGATTTGGCTTCTCCGCTTGATGGTCTCGCAAATGTTTTTCCAGTGAGGTATTGATTTTGTTGTACTTGTATACTTAATTCTGTTTTTTCAGTGACCATAATTTTTTGAATTTTGGTCACGGTGCATTTTTCCACAATGGCAATTATAAATGTAACATGTGACGTACAAGTTGCAGTCTTGAATAACATACCATTACAAAACTACTGATATGCCGTGGCTCTATGACACATGTATATAGAATTCATAAAG